CTTAACTTGCAACATTTGCGCTGCTCCATATATAAAAATAGCAATGCGACAATTCGCTGCCAAATTGTCACTAAAAACGCCCACATTTTCTGTTGAATTTCTGCTTGTTCTCTCGAGTACTCGAGCACATTTGAAATTTCCTTGAATGATTCAAATTTAAGCTTTTAAAAGAAGCTAAAAATATTTATCGCTGTGACGTGCCATATTCTACCGATAATATGCCTAAATATATATACATACAACTACTATGTATGCATAAATAATAACTTAGCCCGTAATGAGCCGCTAATGAGCATAGTTGTGGAGAGTTGTCAGCGTTGATAAAGCATCTGCGAAGCAAAAAGCAGCAACAAAACACAGTAGACCCAAACTGGCCCTGAACTTGACTTAAGTGCTGTGGAAAAGTCAATGGCTCTCAGCACTACGTCTACATTTTTGGTCTATACTATGTTGAAAAACGCTTAGTTGTTGAAAATATTATTGAATTGTGTTGTTGTTGTTGTTGTTGTTTTTGTGTTTGTTTTTTTTTTTATCAGAGTGCCAAATATATAATTTGTGTGTGCAGCACTGCCAAAGGGGCCAATGAACGTTAAGCGCACGAATCAGCAGAAAAAACAAAATAGGGGAAAATATATATATATTATATATATGTATATATGTTTATATATATATATATATGTATATATTTAACCATTATATTTCGTTTATTTGGGCAAACTGTGCTGAATGGTTTAATCACATGCAAAGTGCATGTGAGTTTGTGCGAACTTTTCTACTTGAAAGTTATTTAAAGATATATGATAAAACGCTAGCTGGTCTTTAATAATAAAATGTGTGATTCACACGTTAGAAAGCCATCACAGCTAGTAATCAAATTATGAAGTTAGTTATGCCAACTTGTTATGTATTCTATATTTTAACGTCAGCTCAAAGTTTATAGTTTCTGAAGTTATAGTTTCTCAAGACTGAAGAGATAATATTGCAAATATATTATAAGTTACATATATTTATATTTATATACTTTGAAAAATCTACAACACAAGTAAATATTATAAAAAATGTAAAAAAAAATAATTTCTAAAAATTCAAGGTTGGTTTTTGCTATGCAAATATTAATTTGAATAGAAATGTTGTGTAGAATATTCCTATAATCAATCTTTATAATTATACACATCTAGTGCGTAGTATGATTTGATCGTAAAGTTTATAACGCTTTGAAGAGGATAAGGCATATATATTCGTTGTCAGCATTAGCCAGGCCGATATAAGCTTTATCCTTTAGCTCCAATGCAAACATGTCAAACCTGGATTTATGCAGAATAAAATTGGTTTAAAACGTACAAGAAAAATATAAACACCAGATCCAGATTAAAATTTAGATGTCCGTAGTTGAACTTACAATTAATATTAGTTAGTAACTAAGTTAGCTCTTCTTTTTGGTTTCTTATACATTTTGTATTTACTTAAAACTATTCCCCCTAAACTATGTTACCTAGAAAGGCTTTCAGTGACTTTCCCTGCCATTAAAAGTCAAGGCACGTATTTCAAATATTAACTTTTCCGAGAGACGTATCCTACTTTCATTGCCTCTCTGCCAAATCCGAATACTGCCAAATTTGCAAATAGAGTGTGAACATTTCCATTGTTGTTTGGCACCCTCTTCGTGGTACTCATTCCGAAGCGCTCCCCTATTTTTATTTTTTCGCGAATTTTCATTTAATAAACATAAACAAATCGATACGCGTCACAACAACGCCAACAATGTCTGCGTGTGCCCGTCCAGGAGGCAGCATATACTATATATATATACGTATATAATATCATATGTATGTATCTACATCGAATGTTTTTGGTCTACACAATTTGCCGGCTGGCTCCCCTTTACCAACAGTGGGGGATGGGTGTGGGGGGTTGGTGCGTGGGGGTTGTTGTTGAGATTTTGGCTGCCATGTTGTTGAAAAATGACGACGCAGAATTTTATTAGACATCCTTAAGCAAATGTTGGACGGACACCGCTCTCTCTCTCGCTCTCGCTCTCTCTCTCGCTCTCGCTCTCTCTCTCGCTCTCGCTTTTTCTCTCTCTGACATGCTCTTGCATAATGAAGCCCACGCTCAGCACAACCCCCAAATGGCCAACTCAGCCCCCTGGTCCCAACCACCATTCCATGTCCTTGACGTCGTTGGCAGTCTACAGTCGCATTTTTGTTGTGCTTCTGCACATTCATAACAAAAACAAATTGAACTCTGCGTCGACAGTACTTATTTTCAATACTAAATAACCCTTGAATTAAGTGGTTAGAATAATAAAGTAAATGTCTACATTAAATAAATATATTTGACATAAGAATTACAAATTGGAAACTTTTCAATTAAAAACCAATTCTTGTGAGAAACAAACTTTTCTTAGAAATGAGTTAAAACTAATTAAGAAAACACGTTCACTCCGCTGTCCTTTAAAGGGTTTTGTGAAACATTTGTTAATTAAAACATATTTATGCTGTGGGTTGTCAAATGCTTTGCATTTAATTAAAAAGAACGCGCTCGACAGCATAAAGAATACGCAAGTGGCTCCAATAGCAACGCCCAACGGCAGCTTATGGGTAGTTTTTGTTTTTCGTTTTTTCGTTGTTTTTCGCTTTTATTTTTTTTTTTTGTTTTTTGGTTTTTTTTTTTTTTGTGGGGGTGACAACACTGGGCGTCGCCCACACACAAATTCAAGGTCCCGACGCGTCGGGCTGACGTGAACCCGACGCCGACACCGAAGCCGACACACCACGAAGGGAAAGTGAAAGTGACGAGTGGATGGATGGATGGATGGATGGATGGCTGGATGGCTGGATGGATGATAAGTGGGAAGCAGCTAGGAGAATGAAAAGAAAAAAAAATAAATATACCGGTGCTTGTCAGTAGCTGTGAAGCCCACGCTACGAGAATGTTGCGACGTAGGCGTCTGCCTGCTGCTGTCGCTGCTGTTGTTGCTGTTTTTAGTAAATACTTGTAAGATGCCGGCGCCCATGTCCTTGACAATCGTTTACCGTTTTAGATACTTGAAGTGGGCGTGTGTCCGTTGCGTGCTGTTGTCTATTACGTGTTTGTGTGTGCGGTCTGGCATCCTTGGCATTTGTGCTTATCTGTGTGTGTGTGTGTGTGTATCCTGGAATAAATGCCACAGTGATGAGCGACGGCGACGACGCCTCGCTTACCGAGCATATTTACTTCATTTACGAGCCGAGTGTCGTGTTATCCTTGTTTTTGTTTTTTTTCTTTCTTATGTTTTGCTGTATCGCAATTTTCCCATTCAAGGACACGGTCGTGATTTCTCTTCAGTGGCTCGCTCCACTGCGAAATTTTCCGTGCGTCAATTCGATTTACCATCATTACTGATGATGAAGTTTGGGGCATATGGTTTCGAGCATCAAAATTAAACCCTAAGCGGCATGTGGCAAGTGTTCCACACTTTAAATTCATTTATTTTTATTGGCTTTTGTGTCTTCAGCCACATTCTCAATTACTCAGCTACAGATAATGATAGATAAGAAATGGGATTTTGTTTTCAATTGCATTCATAAATTAAAAGCCATATATGTATATAAATTTATAATTTTTTTTCTTCGAGCTTAGTGCTCTTGTTAAAAAAGTTGGCATTTTAATATTCTTCTATTTTTAATTTAGTTTAGGTTTCCATAGTTATTTTCGCATCTGTTTATTTTAGTATTCTTCTGGAAGAGTAACTAAATTAATAAATTATCTGGCAACTGTTTATTCTAGAATTATTCTATAAAATTAACCAATTATATTTTACTTTAGCTTAGGTTTCCCTACTTATTTTCGCATCTGTTTATTCACGTAATCTATGTAGAAACAACTAAATTAATGAATTATTTTTGAATTTTGCATTACATTTTATATATGAAATATTGCATCAGCCATCAAAACGAAACAGAGAAACTAAAACCGAAAGTAAAACTCAAACTGAACTGATATTCGATTCATTATACAAGAAACACATAAAAACATTCCCGTTGATATTATTATAATTTTTTTGTTGCCATAAACCAACCAATACAGAATTGAAAACGCAACGTCAACAAAAAAAAAAAAACCTAGCGCAATCAACGGTTCTTTAAGCGCGGGCAATTCCCGCTTGCAACGCTTTTATTTTGTTTATTTCGTTCCCCCAAATAAATAACAAAAAATAACTTGCGGTGCGATATTATAGTATTAATTCAATGCTCAACTAGTTGATTTTTGCGAAAATCAAAACACAAATCAAAGCGCCAGACAATTTCATAACAAAAAGTTTGCATTAAAAAAAAATAAAAAAAAAAAGCGGTCGCAATAACAATGCGCGCAAGAAAATGAAAACAAGGCGTCTGGTCGAAGGCGAAGTAAACAACAAAAGTGACGTCAAAAACGAGTGGGCAGAGGCAGCGACAGCGGCAGCGCTAGCGCAGAGAAAGACAAATAGAGAAAAAGAGTGCGAGCGGAAGCTTTGTAAATGAATTTATTTATTAATCAAATGGGGAAAAAAATAACATAAACCGCCAAAGCAAAGCGAGCAACAACAAATGCCAAAGCCGAGCAGCAAAAAAATAAAATAAGAAACCAAAACAACAACAAACGCAACAGACTGTACCGCAGCGCAGCTGCGCTGTCGGTGTCGCCGTCTCTTCCCCGGCACCGGCATTTAAGAACAGAATTGGAAAATTGGAAGTGAAAGAAGCAACAGACGAAGAGACAAAAACGACGCTCAACTGCTGCTGGCTTTATGTAATTGTGTGGGTGAGCGACATGAGTACACACGCACTCTCTCTCTCTCTCTTTCATTCTCTTTCTTTCCCTCGCTCGCCTGCACTGCACACAGCTGAACAATCAAAACAAAATCAACGAACGTTCGCGAGCTTTCGCTTTGCTCTGCTGTGCTTGGCGTGTTTTTGTCGCTGAGCTTTTCAAAAACTTTATCAATCGGTCAAGAACGTTTGACAAGCGTGGACACGGAACGCAACAAAACCAATTCGATTTGTGCATTAGTGTATGTGTGTGTAGAGTGCGATAATCAAAATAAAACTGCAAATACGATTTTTATTTGTTGTTTTGTACATAGCGAAAATAAAATAAGCGCTGATAGAATAAATAAAAATGAACGAATAACGTCAATGCACGTCAAAATATATATTCTGAATGTACATACATATATAAATCAAATAATATATTGCATTAACAGTAGTTGTTGTATTTTCATAATTCAATTAGCGTGCAATTAAAACGTGTCAACAAAATCGCGCGCGAGTTTTCAAATAATCGCCAACAAAACGCTCTCCTGGCATACGAGTTTAAGCTTAAATTAACTCAGCTTCCAGGCATTTATTTGAACAAACTCGCTTAGACAACGAACTAGTTTCAAGACGGCAACAAGAGCAATAACAACAAGCAGCTACACTCAATCATAAAAAGCACCAAAAAATGCTAAGCAGATTTGCATAAATAAATAAAGCAACAACATTAAAAATAAAGTCAAATTTCAAGAGTGCTGGAATTTGACTACAAAAATTCTTACGACGCTGTCGACGCCAGGCGTCTGCCTGCCCGCTCGCACACCCTGCCCATTATATCAACACTCACACATATAGAGGCCCTCGTGCGCATGCAGAGCGAGCTTTGTCTTACTCACGACTACTTCTCGGCTCATGCTTTGATCAGTTGTCCGCAACGCGCTCAGCTGCTCGGTCGAAATCACCGCAAAATTGACAGCAACAATAAAACGGCAGCACAAGTGCACCCTCCCAACACCCCCGTTCCAATAAAGCTTTTCAGTTGTTGTAAATTTTTGCCATAATTCTAACGCAATATTTACGATATATTCAAACTTAACGTGTGCCATCCAAGTGTCAGTGTTGCCCACAAATAAAACTACACTTTTCAATTGTCAAACTTCAAGTCTTACGTCAACAAATACAACGACAGTTTCCCCTTGAAATATATAAAACATATATATATATATATATATATATATATATATATATATATATTATATATTATATATATGTATAAAATATATATGTACAATTGTGCTGGCGGTCTAAAATATAACAATTCTTCAATGCTTATGTTTTTCTTCTGGCGACAAGCTGATAAGATTTGCCGCGAGTGAATAAATATTTTAATTTTACTTATCAAATTGTGCATAGTTCTTGTGTTATAAATATATACATATATAACTATACAAATACATATAATATTTCTGTTTTAATCGCCACATGTGTGACCCAGTTTAAACGAAATCCAACCAACAAAAAGCGTGACCAACAACAACAATGAAATATACAACAATTTACATATAAAAAGCCACCGCCTTCCCCCTCACTCCGTGTGACCATGCATATCAATCAATTAATGGAAGAAAATATACAATAGACCGAGAAATGTTTGTATAAACATTACGAGCAAATTGTTTAACAAATTTTAAATACATTTCATCGCGGAAGTCAAAACGAACGCAAAAAAAAAGAGAGACGTTTACCTACACTATCCAAAGTCCCCACAGCTGGAATCGTGTATACTTATATAGTATATATAATTTTAATACAACACACACGGTGCTATATTATAAGGTTGGTATTGCAGCAATCGTATAGATATACATATATATATATATATATATATAGGTGTATAAATAATTTTGTATAACTACAAAAGAAACCAAAATGAAATACATAAATGTTACTAAAGCAACAGTCCTAAAGTCAAATTTTAATTATAGGCTTTGTGAATATTTGGGGCATCAAAAGAAAAATTTGGGGCCAGCTCGTAGTCCAATTTTTGATGTGCTTCTTTTATAAACGAGATAGAAAGTTAAACAAGATCCGCTGCTAAAAACTGAGAAGAAAATGAATTTGAAGCCTGACTTGAGCTACAACAAACTTTAAGTGTTCGACAGCAAAAGAGAAGAAGAATTTCAAGCCTGTCATCAGCTATAACAAACTTTAGAAATCTAGTAGGCTCATAGATCTTATTTTAATGGCCAATTTCGAAAATTTGGTCCCTATTTCATTTTCAAATTCTAAGAGCTGTCACACACGAGTTATTTATGTGCCCAGGCCAATTAAAATGTCAACTCATCCCAGAAACTTAACACACAGACACACACACACACATTCACACACATATAGTAAGTTCTCAAAGCTGAGATCTGAAATCGAAATCGTGTAATGCGAGACCTTGCAACAAAACAGAGCTCGGAGCAGAGAGAGCCATAAATATGACCACATTTGTTTATGTTTAGGCCATAAAATTGAGCTCAGAACTTGAGCATTTCCTGTACCCCAACCCCCCACTTCCCATCACCCCCCCCCTTTCCGCCCTTTTCCCTGTAATCCAGTGTAATCTGAGCGCTCAATTAAAAATAATAATAAATATAATATACACACTGGCTGGCTAAACCAGCAAAAAAATAGAAGAGAATAATGTTTTAAAATCTTTCGATTATACGATTGTTCGAATACTATATGCATTTTACATATTTATAAAGACTGAAGGAGTTTTTGCGATCATCACATATATACTCGTATATATATTGCCCATTTGTGCATATAATCAAAAGTTAATAACAATACCAAATTTGTAGCAAAAATACAAACAAATAAAAACAAAACAAAACAACATATTTGACTAGAAGATTCCCTGTATTTTGTGCCAATAATGGATATCTTGTTTTGCGTTGCTTGTACAAGTTCCAGAAAGAAGATGATCGAAAAAAAGTATCAAAAATGAAGACTATATATGTTCATGAGGTTCGTATTATAAGATACATTTTTGTTCAACCTTTTAAGGGGTATAACAAAAAGAAGAAGCTACCGAAATCAAAATTAAATTAAATTTGAAATTGATTTCAATTTGAATTTCGAATTTGAACGCGTTTTGTTCAAAGAGTTCAGTGTCAGTGCGCGAAAATTCAAGGCTGAAAAACTGTTGACTCGCCACAGCTGGAAGACAGATAGATAGAGAGAGAGAGAGAGGGTGAGAGTGTGTGTAAGAGAGAGAGAGAGAGATAGAAAAAAGCATACACATGCAAACACACTATCATCATACACTCAAAACACACACACACACGAAAGACAATCGAGTTGAATGCCTAAAACCGGCCATATGTTGGGCAAATACCAATAGTAGCAATAGCAGCCCCCCTTCCTGCTCCGGCTAAAGCCCAACTCTTCCCCTTCGCATAGATAGATATATATATACATATGGACAGACAGTTTTGGTTTGAGTTTTGTCGTCTTTTTCAGAGAGCAAAGTCTAAACACCAACCCAGATAGCAATATTCTCCTTTGTACGCCTCGTTTAGTTTAGGCGCCGCTTTATTACGTATACGACTGGGTAGCCAGCTGTCTGAGTAGCCGCTGTTTGACTTAATTGACTTGACTTAGGCAGCAGCGCGACTGACGACCATAGTCAGTGTGTATTGAGTTTTTGCCATATCACCTTAAAGCAATCGTACTCGTTTTTTTCTCATAAATAAACATACATATATATATATATTCATATATATCAGTAGCTATATCAAAAGCTATTGCCAAGGCAATGAGTCAACAGTTGAGCGCACGATAAGGGCCGCCTATGATGGGGCAGGCAGCCAAAAGCACAGCAGATATACATTGCCACAATTAAATGTTAGCAACTTAATCAGCTGTTGACTTTGCGACTGATAAATTTATTACACAAGATGCTTAAAACAACGAAATTTTCGCAATGCTGGTTTGCAATTCCACTTGAACTTACGGCTCTAACGTATTGTATAATACTATAAACTATACTATATTAAAATATATATACATAATATTAACTCGCGGCATTTGTATTACTTTAAGAAGTTATCGTTCAGTAAAAATTGTCCTTACTCTTTTGTCATTCTATCGTATAAGCGATAAATGATGAACTTTGTTCAATCGGTTCATGTTCATAAAAAACCACCTTCATTTAGCAGTTTAATCATTAATTACCTTTAAGACTTCAAGATATTATATATCATACGGTATTGTTAAGCATAAGAATCATTGCTCTTTTGTCACTCTACCATATACATGCCCAATATATGAACTAAAGGAACTTTGTTCAATCGTTTTGTCCATTTGACTTGAGCATTAGTTGAAAACGACATTCCTTTAAGCTTTTTAATCATTAATTAATTCTGAGAATTATCAAATGTGCAAGCCGCGAAAAAAATTAAAAATAATAACAAATGAAAAGATATCTCTATGTATGTTTGTCGTGCATTGAAACGTATTATCCATCGAAAGAAGATGTTTAAAAATATTTTTATTTTTTTAATGTATTTAGGAATATATAATGACAATGTTTGACACGTCTTGTCAAGTCTCTAGCTCTTCGTGTCACGAAAGTCCTAGTTCTCGTTTGCTCGATGATCAATGATCCCACAATACTCTTCTTATTTTTTTTTATTTATTTTATTTTTTTTTTGAATACCGATTGCTGCAAATCAAAATGCTGATTGTATTTCTCTCAGTTATTGCATCATTTCTCGATATCTTGCTTTAATTTCCGAGAGTTGAGAGTGCATAGTTTAATAAAAAGTGTTGATCGGCCGATTTGATTCACAAATTTCTATATGAGTACTCTACTCTGTATATAGAAATGTATGTTATATATGTATATATAGATATACATATATATTCTATATACGGTCATTGCTTTGCCGGCCTTCAACTTTCTTTGTTGTTGCTGGCTGGCCGCGATGTTCTCTGGGCTCTCTGTACTGCTCTGCTCTGTTTTGCGGATGCGGCCATTAAACAAACTTGTTTGCTTTTCTTTGAAATTTCGTAAAAAGTATTAATATGTTCCAAATAAAGCATATATGTATATAGAATCAATATATATATCATTATTGTTCCACTGACTCACATCAGCTTTCGCTTATTTTTTTCTTTCGTTATTTGTTTTTATCTTAATCTAGTCAAACCGAAAACCAAACCCTTTTAAGAATTCCTAGAAAATAATTTAGCGATTGACTTCTGTTTTTTTTTTTCTTTGTTTTCGTTCTCGTTTGTCACACTAGAAGACAAATAGCTATCTAAAAAAGTTGATTCGATATTTTGGGTAAATTGTTTTTGCCCCGTAGACGTGGCCAGCTTATCAGAGTTGCCAGCTGTTTTGTTAGAAGAGGCTGTGTTAAGCTGACTAAGTTAAGATAAACACTATCATCCTCGCCAGATAAGAGTGCGATACTTACAGTTGTTCTAGCTTATCGTCGTTGATAGCACTATCCACAAACCCTTTGTTTGGTGTATACAAAATATATAGCTGTGTTTACATTTTGCTGCAATCGAACGCTATCTCCAAAATCTCACTTTGAAAGTTAACAAAAAAAAAACCCGTTAGCAAGTTATATTTTTATTTATTTGCTAATCGGCAACTATCTAAGAATATGCCACAAAAATAGCGTCACACAGTCTTTCCTGCAATGGGTTGGATGAAGGGGAGGCAACGCAGGTTAATTGAAATTCAGTTTTTTTTTTATGTTTGCAATGGTTATGGTTGGTGGCTTATGACAATGCCGTTCATTACCAGCAAATTTGCAATGTGCTTGACCCAATATTGTGAAGTTGAGGCAGCTTATCAGCAGGCAACAGCTAATAGACCAGTCACTGGCACGCGGCTAGACGCTGATAAGCGACGACGACGACGACAGCTTGGAGCAGCTGAGAAACTAGACGCCTCTTTGCTGATAGCTGATAGGGACGCAACTCACGTGTTCCAGCATGTATCCGTTCAAATTGGATGTCTAAATGCAGTCTATATGAATACATACACATCTACACTTAAATGCATTGCGCTGTTTTCTGTGTGTGTGTGAGTTAAAAGCAGTCTTTGCCCAGTCACGATTTCTTCAAGTGCTTCCAGTCGATAGTCTTCTCCATTTGATGATATTGGAACTGGCTTTTAGGGTCGGGGGTCTGTTGTGTAGTGTATTTGTATTGTATTGTATTGTATTTGCCTAACATTTCAGCTGATTTGTGCTAATTTTTGCGTATTGTGCACAAATATGTTTCTAAATCAATATAAATTGATTTTAATTATTTATCTATTAGCGAAACAGCAGGCAAGCAATTTATCTGTACATATATCTTTATATATATATATATATATATATATATATATATATATATATGCTCCCTTTTCTTAGCACTTATTGATTGGTATGAAAACTAAATCAAGCAAGTTAAGTGTATCTGAGAGATGTGTGTATTTTTTATATACAGTTGTGGTCAAAATAATAGAAATGCTTCTTACCAAAGCATTTAATAAAAATATAACTCATTTTATGGTGATAAAATCCTGATCTCTGCAAAATCTTCAATATAAGGAAACAATTCAATTCTGCTGAGAATGTTTTAAAATACAATTATTTTCCAAATACTACACGTAGTAAAATGTAACCACCAATTATATCTAGTTTTTAGAAATATTATTTAGCCGCAGGGAAAGCTGAGAGATCTTTATTATTATTGCATTTCAATAATAATTTAATAAAAATACATATAAAAATTATTAAATTTAATGATTTTAATTTTCTTTAGTAATAAATATTGTAGCT